AGATAACCAGGAATTATCCGAAATTTGCTCCCTCAATGGCGCAGCCGGCTTGGCAAGACGTGCCGAGATTGCACAATGTGAGGACCTAATGTTCAGGTACATTGGGTGCAATTGGGGGCAACCAGATTAGGCGCGATATGGAACATCGTGATGAGGGTCATACGGGTTAATGCATTTGATAACATCCAGATTGTGCTGATGAAGATGTTGTGGGTCAATTATTTTGTAAGAATGGCTGTGTCGGGCTGGGGGAAACTTTACTGGTGTCAGAATACCTTTGGTTGCGTTGATGTCATCGGTTTGGTCCTCTGTTTAAGTTGTCACCAGAAGAGTTGATGAAGAAGATGAGGATGTGATCATACAAAAAACGTTAGGTTTAAGGATAAAATGATGAATTATTTTTATAATGCCAAGAATCGAATCGATTTTAAACATTCTAAATTTAATGGATGGCGTTATCAAAATGTACGGGTGGGTGAACAATATTGGAATGACAATAATTACCAAAGTATATATTTGTTTTAGACGATGTCTGATACGATTGTTGTACGAATGATTATGAGAGTTCGTGATGAACATTGTGGATCATCGTCGTATTGGACGATAATCCGACAGTTCTTGCAATTTGTGTTTGTGGAATAGCAATTCATGATTACCCTTAATGGATTGCAAATGCAAAATATATTTATATCTGCCATGAAGAATATGCCAACATTACATAAATCAAGGGAAATGATCGAAATACGCATCGTACCCTGAACTTGTAGGAAAACATATCGCCAAAGTTTGGTAAAAAAACATGAAGTACACAATTTTAAATCTTTGGTTGATTGAAACTCATGTTCCGTAATATGATTGGAACATTGCCAAAAGCGGCGAAAAACGCTATTAACTAACTTAAAAGGGACTTTCTACAAGTTAAAATCTCCGGGATTTGAGTGAAAAGGGAGTTAGTTCCAGGTAGTCTAAAATAAAAGCCATATTTCTGACTTGTATCAATCCTTCTGGTCTCTAAATGTCTTCACGCATTGGATAATAACCATTCCACTAATGGTACAGAGTCAGGACTGAAGGCAAAGCTATGGCACATCTCATTTTGAGAAATATTGCCATGTGTTCGATTTATGAAAGGTATACTTTTATCAAGATATCGAGTTGAACAAAGGTGGCTCCCGAAGAACGGGCAAATCTGTTACTCGGCAATACGACCTAAAGCGATGTAATGAAAACTACTACAAGTGTCTAAAAAAGCCGATAACACGTCACAGAAATCAGGAATTCCCCTTCACGGCATGCTCGTGCAAAACGTGATCCGAACCAGTGAACGTTGTGATTCGAACATGCTCATGCTTATTCAATTTATGGCGCATGGACCTTGTACAATTGTGTATTTGTAGAAGCTTAGAGCGGTCATTTCCTCAAGTGATAGCTAAGGAATGTGAGAAATCTTTTAGGTCTGTTTCATTGGCAGGCGCAATTAATCATGATTAGTCGAACGAAAGCGAGGCTGGTTGGGCCTCAATTGCCACACTGAGTGGGCTTAATTCTCCCAAGCTTCTCGGACAGTGTGCAGAGTGCATGATTAGCTAAAGTCGCTTTCCTTATTAGCTGCTAGCGTCTATAATAGAATACTATGGTTTTACCTGGAGGTGCGGGGATGTAAATTGTGAGGCATCAGTGACATATTTGCGACAGAATTACAGAAATCGATAGAAGTAGTTCAATAATGATCAGTTTTGTGGTATATTTAACGAGATGTGCACGCTGTAGATTTCCTTCGGAGTCTAGGTGTGTTTTTCTGGTGTCATTTTTAAGGCATGTAATATTTGATTTTTAAATTGCCACATTGAGGTCGAATGTACTTTAGGCGTTCAACATAGGGTGAAATCTTGTTAACTTTTGGTGACAACGCCCGTCGATGATATACAGAGAAGTCATACATTAAACTACGTTTATAACGAACTGACGGATATGACGAACTTTTTGTTTTTGTCCCGGCCATTGCTGTATATCTGCTGTATATATGCTTATAACGAACTCCGGTTATAACGACCTAATATTAGTGGCCCATTTGAGTTCGTTATAACCGTAGTTAACTTAATTTGGAAACAGTGAGTATTTTGGGTTTAACGACCCTTTAAACAATATTTTAGTTACATCACAGTATTCCTGATACAGGAGGAAAGTAGTTTCGCGAACACCTGGTGTCATCACTGATTGATAGTAATTCATAAACACATCCTGATTATACAGTCGGAATCGTCCAATGAACTACTTTTAGCAGTGAATTCTTTAGCTTATGGAAAGGGATGTATCGCTTGATAACTCTGAACTCCTTCTGGCTCCTATAACATTTAATACACACCATTCAACATGACATTACACAGCTATGTACGCGTGTCCACATCGGCGAGAGGGACACACAGACAGACTCCCTACGTCACATACAAAGTTAGTTCACACAACTCGTGATATCGGTAGTTGCGTATCTGAGGTATGTTGACATCGCATCGTTTACAATCTTGGTGAAACGTACGAGCATGTATGGCGCTGACAAAACTAGAAACATAATCAGGTCGAACCTGGATGCGAACATAGGTTTCTGGCATGAAAATGCACGGCGAAACATAACGCCTTTGACGACAAGTACAACATTGGGCCCAAACGGTACCAAAATGTACCATTGTGATCAAAATGATCCAAACGGTACCACGCAGTGTTAAACGATATATCGAATTAAAAGAGTTCGTGTTAACGAGGTTTCCCTGTACTTCAAACTTGTTTAATGCCACGCAGGTGGTGTTTGAATCAATTTCGTCGTGAATGGATCGTGAATTTAAAGTTAACACAAGATTGTTGGAAATATTGATCATTAAACGTGAACGCCATTAAATACAATTTGAAGATGAGCAAAGAATGATAAGAGGAATTTAAAACTTCACAGGAACAATCAATACCCGCATGTTTCTGTATAACTGACAAAATTGCATCGAAATAATAAAATCTAGGAATGAAGTAATAAAACTAGATAACAAAAAGTTAGTCTACAGTAAACTACGGTTATAACGAACACGCTTATAACGAACTGACGGATATAACGAACTTACTTTTTGGTCCCGACTATATGCTGTAGTTATGCTGTATATATGCTTATAACGAACTACGGTTATAACGAACTAAAATTAGTAGTCCCTTTGAGTTCGTTATAACCGTAGTTTACTGTAATTCTTTTTTTTTTAGAATAATGTAAAACGTAACTGGAATTTGAGCAATATGCTGTTTCTGGTTGGGTGACGACATGATTATGGATATAACTCCGTGGTATGTTTAAATACTAAGTCGGGGCCTCATATACTAGTGGCTGATAGCATGAACAACAATGACACACATCCAGGTCACATAGTGTAACCATTTCACTAGAGATAATCATTGAATTTTCGCATCTTCACCCCAAGGACATACCGTAAATATATTTGTTGCAGTCAGCTTGTTATTCAACTATGCACAAAACAATATTCCAACTGTATGACAGCGGCGTATAACAACTGAGTCTTGATTTTACAGTGATTGACATAACGATATATATCACGATGCTGAACATGACATCATCACTATTCGATAGTCATTGATACACACACACTTACAATTATGATTATGGTAAACTTATGAGATCCTCATCATTGGGCTTCCCTCCCATATTAATCTCACCCGCCGTGATATAACGGTATACTATTCAAAGCGGCGGTATACTCACTCACTCACTCTTATGCTTTTGGTAACGATTTTGTTGCTTTTCGTAACTCCATGATCCCTTTAACAATATTATCCTCACTTCACCTATCACTATGTTAGTTTTATTTGAACTGAAGAGGCGGTCGGGTAGCCTAGTGGTTAAAACGTTCGCTCGTCACGGTGAGGACCCGGGTTCGATTCCCGACATGGGTACAATATGTGTTGGTTTCTGGTGTCCCCCGTCGTGATATTGCTGGAATATTGCTAAAAGCGGCGTAAAACAATACTTACGCACTATTTCAACTGAAATCTGAACCAGATTAGTAATTGAAAAACTAAAGGTAGGGTGTATTGTGAAGAACAATTTATGTGTTTGGCCTCACGTTTTTTTACTTCGACATGTGTCGGTTTTGTTTTGTTTCAACAAGGATGAAGATAAATCGCGATGCCTGGAGACGACGATGAATACAGACATTCCAAATGCTAATGAGTGTTTGTTTATAATTTACCGTTAAGACCCCATAAACAAATGTGAAAACTGTAAAGAGAGACAAGGCAATGCACCGAGTGGCATGAAATGCTTCGGTCACCATCTGTGTGATAGGTACATGTACACAGTAACTAGAGTGAGTGAATGAGTTTGGTTTAACGCCGCTTTTTAACAGTATTCCAGTTATATCACGGCGTGTCAGCTTAATGTGGGAGGAAAGCCCGAAGTGATGCAGGTCTCAGACGTTTACCACTTCGGTGAAACCCAAGAGCACAGGCATGGTGCTGACAACCTAGAAACATGATCAACCCGGTAAGAACAGATCTCCAGCAACCCAATCTTGCCGTAAGAGGCGACGATGCTTGTCGCATGATGAGACGACTAACGGGATCGGGTGGTCAGGTTCGCTGACTTGGTTAATGCATTGGTCTTATCCCAAATTGTGTAGATCGATGCTCATAATGTCCATGACTGGATTCTCTCTGGTCCAGACTCGATTATTTATAGACCGCCGTCATATAGCTGGAATAGTGCTGAGTGCGGCGTTAAAAACAAAAATATAATCGGTGCGAACCGGGATTCGAATCTACGATTATAAGTTTCTGGCGTGCCCAAGGGAAGCAACTCTGCACAGCAAATTGCGACACCTTAGATGACTCGGGCACCCGTGCACCCATGTAAATTAGAGCTAACTTGCACCATGAGATAGTGAATCACATAATGTATAACATTCTTAATCAAAGAGAAAACGTACTTAAATTGGATATAACCAAATTACCTTTGTGGCCAATGTTGCGCTGTGCAAAATATCCCCAGGCCAGAAAAGCTGAGAGGCGACGGTGACGGCAGTGAGGCTTAGGGAAACGTTGCCACCGGCGTCAAACGTTGTGTCGAGGTTGTGCTCATCGTGAAACACGTATTTCCTTACTGCGTTATGGATGAGTGCGAGGATGATGGAAAAACCGCCAAAGCCGAGGAGCATCAGAAGCGCCGTGTCATGCTTCTCCAGAACAGCCTTCACCCTGCAACACAAGGGAGATAACTGTCATTGACGAAAATAATGAAGATGTAAAATCTTGGTGTTGCCATGATTATGTCAACATATTTGCAATGTGCCCATGACCTTTAACCTTTTACTTCATGTACCATAGTGTCATTCTCCTCCTTCTTCTACTACTACTACTACTACTGTACTACTACTACTGCTGCTGCTGCTGCTGCTGCTGCTCCTGCTGCTGCTACTACTACTACTACCACTAACAGCACTACTCCAACTATAGCTACTACTTTTACAACTACTACTACTTCTTTTACTACCACTGCCACCACTACTATTACAACTTCTACTACTTCTACTACTACCACTACCACTACTACTACAACCACTACTACCGCTACCTCTGCTACTACTACTACTACTACTACTACTACTACTACCACTAACAGCACTACTCCAACTATAGCTACTACTTTTACAACTACTACTACTTCTTTTACTACCACAGCCACCACTACTATTACAACTTCTACTACTTCTACTACTACCACTACCACTACTACTACAACCACTACTACCGCTACCTCTGCTACTACTACTACTACTACTACTACTATTACTACTACTACTCCCCTCACCACAACTACTACTACTGCTTCTACATCACTACTTCTTCTACTACTACTACTACTACTGCTACTACTACTACTACTACCACTACTACCACTACTACTACTACTACTACTGCTGCTGCTGCTGCTGCTGCTACTACTACTACTACCACTAACAGCACTACTCCAACTATAGCTACTACTTTTACAACTACTACTACTTCTTTTACTACCACTGCCACCACTACTATTACAACTTCTACTACTTCTACTACTACCACTACCACTACTACTACAACCACTACTACCGCTACCTCTGCTACTACTACTACTACTACTACTACTACTATTACTACTACTACTCCCCTCACCACAACTACTACTACTGCTTCTACATCACTACTTCTTCTACTACTACTACTACTGCTACTACTACTACTACCACTACTACCACTACTACTACTACTACTGCTGCTGCTGCTGCTGCTACTACTACTACTACCACTAACAGCACTACTCCAACTATAGCTACTACTTTTACAACTACTACTACTTCTTTTACTACCACTGCCACCACTACTATTACAACTTCTACTACTTCTACTACTACCACTACCACTACTACTACAACCACTACTACCGCTACCTCTGCTACTACTACTACTACTACTACTACTACTACTATTACTACTACTACTATTACTACTATTACTACTACTACTCCCCTCACCACAACTACTACTACTGCTTCTACATCACTACGTCTTCTACTACTACTACTACTACTACTACTACTACAACTACTACTACTATTACTACTACTACTTCTACCACCACCACCACTACTACTACTACTACTACTATTACAGCTGCTGCTGCTACTACAACGACCACTACTCCACTCACCATAACAACTAGCACTACTACTATTACTACTACTACCACTACTACCACCACCACCACTACTACTACTATTATTACAACTACTACTACATCTTTTATTACCACTGCCACCACTACTATTACAACCTCTTCTACTACTACTGCCACTACTACTACTACAGACATAGCTACTACTGTACTACTACTACTACTACTACTACTACTACAGAGACATAGCTACTACTGTACTACTACTACTACTACTACTACTACTACAGAGACTACTACCACCTCACCATCCACTGCATACACTACCGTTACCTAATTGGTCACAATCACTAAATATAAAAAATCCAAAATCTGCTGCATAGTATAAATATTATATTTCTGTTCGGTCTTGTTACCCCAGGACATTTCACAGACATCGTTATCCACATACCTACATATTGGCCGCTGTACCGTCAGCATTACATAGCGTTATGCGTTACCGCAGAGTCACCTCGCAAATGTATTCAACCTTTATTCAATCCACTTTACAGTCCAAGATTCAATTTAAAGGATTACTGTTAGGTCTCCTGTTGAGGTACACACCAGTAAACACAGTGTTTTGACATTATTTAAACTTATCTAGTTTAAACATAACTCATTAATCGAATTGTAAAACCATAATAAATTGGAATCCCCCTCCCAGAGGTCTGTCTGGTGTATAATGAAAATAACGTCGGTCCTTACATGATCGGCATGGGTGGACACGACCCAAACTCGTAAATAACGGTACTTTAACACTGTCAATGAGGCATTCTGTTCAAAGCCTACGTTGCCATTACTCGGGACAAATATTGTGTTTGTTTGTTTGTTGTTTAACGCCGAATTCCCCATTATTCCAGCTATATGACGGCGGTGTGTAAATAATCGCATCTGGACCAGACACTCCAGTGATTTACATCATGAGCATCGATCCACGCAATTAGGATACGATGACATGCTTCAACCATGTCAGCGAGCCTGACCACCCGATCCCGTTAGTCGCCTCTTACGACAAAGCATGGGTTGCTGAAGTCCTATTCTACCTCGGATCTTCACGGGTCCGGTAAAAATATAACTTATTGGCTAGTCTCCATGCTCAGTAGCGTCAAACAAGTGTCATAATTGTGCTTTTGCAAAGCTCTGGATAAGCTTTCGTTTATTTGGGTATTTTACCCATGATTTTGTTCTTTATTGAGTATCCACAATTCTTAGTGCGTATTCAATTTTATTCCACGTTTCTTTCAATTTAGGTATTTCAACTTGAAAACCTGTTTCGTAACATTCCCTGTAAATACTTTAAAACCAAATGAATAGTAGTTTACCCCTATTTTACTGAATGTAACTGTCAGTAAATGAACTCGCGATCGGCTGATACGCAATAGTTTATCTGACAGTTGTAATATACCCATGTTTTATTTCGATTCCGTTTTTATAGTTTTTGTTGCGTATTTAATACCCTAGGGTTTTGTCTGCGTATTTCACTTTATTTAATGCGTATATTACGCAAATACGCAGCATATCTAAATACGCAGCTATACTATGGGTAGAAGGCAATCTACTAGGATAATAATAACTTCAATACGACTATTACATTGTGTTATTAAGATGCAATGTACAGTAAATTACGGTTATAACGAACTCAAAGGGACCACTAAGTTTAGTTCGTAATAACCGAAGTTCGTTATAAGCATAAGGCATTTATACACAAAATGGCGGTGACCAAAAACACAGTTCGTTATATCCGTCAGTTCGTTATAAACGTGTTCGTTATAAACGTAGTTTGCTGTACTTGTATAACAAAGCGTACTGTACTTGTCGCTAGTGTGTCATTTAAAAGCAATATAAACTGCAGGGCAAAGAAGATTTGACCAAAAACTTAAACACATTTATCGAAACGTTCCTAGGCTGAAAACAGTTGCTTAATCATTGCAAAATTAGGGATGAAATACCACAATCATACCCCTATCAAATCCAACAGCAGCAAGTTCTTGTATGTTTCATTTTTAGCCACATCAAACATGGGTCAATACTTTATTTCCCCCGTCAGTTTATTAGATCAACGCCTACAACACGACGACATTGTGATACATCAATAGAATGAATGTAAATAGGGTGTTCAGGCCTGGTGACTTGGTTCATTGCGTGTCCTTGCAAAAAGAAGACTATATATTAATATAGTCAGTATCAACATATAATATAATTATATTAATAGTTAATAGTCAGTATCAACATATAATATAATATATTAAGGCATCATATTAAACATAATTTAGTTTTAATTGTCATAACTGTTCTATATGGATGGTATTGCATGACAACAGTTATCCCTCATTGTTAAAATTGTGCGGTGTCCTATCAATCTATATAAATGCACCGCGATTGTTAGTATTACGCTGCGAAGGTTAATGTTATTAAAACACTTATTTTACCCGTCATTGTGCGATTGCAGTCTAGTGAAGCACAATGGACGACAGTGTAAACATGTGCATGTCACGATAAGAGTTAAATACATTCCGCCGTCAGCTGTCTATGTGAGGCCAATATATTAATTTACTTCATCAATGTCAAATGGGATTTAAAATGTCAAACTGCCGTTAGAAGTATCAATTACGTAAAAATCGGACGAAATGACAGCCTCTGAACGCACACTTCTCACATCAACTAAATCTGTATTATCAAAAGGATAAATTTGAAAAGGAGTTCGCCTGTTTCATTGACGACGCAATCTCCCTCTTAAACACCAAAGCAATCAAGGCTTCATGAATATGTTCAAGGCAAACGTCTGTGTTTAGTTCTGTTTTATTTCATTATAAATAGTCCGGGGGAACACTGTTCGGTGTAGCTGTATGGGACAATCAAGTCATAGTACAAAGCAGGCTAAGAAACGCGCATCTAATTCTTCTCTCTACCGCTCGTATCATTGACTTTTTACAGGTGTGATACAATCGATTTTGTGTACCGTCTGAAAAGGGCAATTTTAGAATAATATCAGATCCAATTAAATTAATTTTCCTATCGGTGAAACACAATATGTGAGAATCCCCACGGCAGTAGTGAAATTGGCTGGCGTTGATGGCTATATTTAAATGAGGATCTTGTCCCCTGGTCATATCCCTGGTGTGGCGGATGGCATTAACATCAAAGAGGCCGATACATGTGACAATCATTTGTCAATTTCAAATAATGCTTGAATTTTAAGATAGCACTGAATCAAAAATTGCGGTCGTCCTTTTCGATCCGGTTAAGACCTTTGCTATCCGATTTGCTCCTATAAACTCAACTGGCTGTGTTCGACCCATTATCGGAAATCCTGCCACTGTTAGTTGTGGAATGGTCTTGCCTTTTCCTGTCATCTGGTGGTAACTGTGCAGTCTTGGTTTGATTAACTGCTTTAACGCTCTTGTTACTCAAGATCTGACGTTAACAACATCTCGCGGTGATTGAGAATTAACGCTAAAATAACTCCAACGGAAAAGGGCCATTTCAGAAACAAATTTGACAATTC